TACCTCCCATGTTGTTTGCCCTTCACACTTCTCGGTACTGTTGCAAATGGTCAAATCAAGCCTTTCACACATATCCATGATCATTTTGCCTGTCGGGTCGGTATACCCATCTATATCTTCTATGTGCGCATTCATGTCTCCTAGTATAATTATCTCGCACTCTCTTCCTAACTACTGAATGTCCTTTGATATACACTCTACCATTGCCTGGTTTTCCTCTCTGGCCTTTGCTCCCGTCCACAAGTACACGAAACCAAGGAGCGTCATTTGACCTGCCACTTTCCCTTTTAGCCATAAATGTTCCTTGCACTCCTGCTTGACCCTTTGCCAGTCTGTACTTTTATGAATGAATGCCCCAATACTACCCCCCTTTCTGCTGCCTTCTGTTCTATTACAATATTCCCACGCGTAGTTCGGATTGTTCGGAGGTTGTTCCATGTCCCTGAGATGTGTTTCTACAAAACCGTATACTATCGGCCTCTCTTCCCTTAGCTGTTCTTCTATCTCTTCCCACTTCAGCCTGTTCCTACCACCCTGCATGTTATTATACCCTATGTCTGAATGGGCTGGGCGCTCGTGGCTACGTCTATTTATGCCCCGGACTCTACCTATCTTAGACATTAGTGCCACTTTGGAATCGTATCTGTCCATAAAACCTGTCGAAGTGCCTCCCTGGTTGTTTTCCTCGTTACTAGCTGTCCTGCACCCCGAAGGGCTCGCTTGCCCCCCAAAAAAGCTACTGCACGTCCTGCAAGTCGTCAACCCACCTCGTGACCTAGTCGCCCATCGAAGTGGATTCTGTCTCGTTGAAAACCACCCCACCTATGCACCTCTCTGTTTATTTCCACCACCTCAAAGCCTTTCTTTCGACTCATCCGCCATATCTTTTGGTTTGCGTTGACAACCGCTCTTTGCAGGTTGCTATCACGCACCGGTACCTCCGGTATCGTGCATATCACTACCTGTACCTTAGGAGAAGTGGCGCGCATGTCATCGACACCTTTCGCCAGTGTGGCTGCTAGTCCTGCTGTATCTTCATTCAAGACATCGTTTAAACCACCTGAAATTATCACGAGGTTTCGTCTATCAGCTGTAGTTTTGAGTTTTGCGCTCGCTTGCCTCATGACTGCTTCAAGCTTGCGTCCTGGGAACGCCCCTACTGCAACCCTCTTGTCACCTCTTACCCTCTCTTTGATGGCTTCTGTGCATCGATTTAAATTCGAGTCCCCGGCTATTATCACAGGCTGTGACTTTTCAGCTGGAGCGTCCTGCACCTGGGGGCTACTTGCACCTGTGACGCCGGCTGCTTTGTCCCCTCCCAGCCCCACCACTACCTCGCTGAAGCTGGGCCTTGCGAGAGTTGAACCGGCTAAACCTGTTTTTTCCAAACTTGCTTGTGCTTCCTTCTCCACCGTTCTGGTTGCCGGTTCTCTACTGTTCTCTCCGTAGGCCGCTTCTTTGTTCAGCTTCGCTAGTGCTTCCTCGGTGGACTTCAGTCTTTCTCCCATTGCCCTCGTTTTCTCTTGCTCTGTCGCCAACGCAGTCTCGAGCTCATCGATTCTCACCAGCCGTTCACTTTGGGCAACCATCATTTTCTCCCTTTTTTCCTCGACCTCACATTGCCTACACTTCGCGTCAGCCTCTTCTCCATCCGCTTCTACGCTTGAGTCCACTTTCAAACCCACTCCACATCCTGAACACTTTACAGTCTTTTAACCATGTCTTTCTGACACCAATTGTCCCTATACTCGATAATTACTAAACTCGAGCCGTGCACTACGAAAAAAAAAAGAAAGTCTAAGCTCTACTACAAAAATTTGCGTGTTCAATGTACGCGCACCTCCCCCACGGGGTGGCAAAAGAAAAAAAAACAAAAAAAATTCACACACACACCCGCACTAACTAATAAATACCTGGTGACTGGCCCCCAAAAAAGCCGTACCATAAAATTAGTGCTACGAAGATTTCAACCGCTGCCTTATAATTATAAAGACAAGCTCAAAACATGCGAACACACTTATCTGCGCAGTCGATCCGGAGCGCTCGAAAAACACGTCCATCCACCGTGACAGCCCGAACTGAACCGTTGTCAGTGCTTCAGGCTTATTTGCCTGAAGCGCCCCCTAGAAGGTTTAAAACTTTCATCCAAAAGCGAATGTTTGGGTTCTGTTGCTATGGTGAATAGATGTAAATGAAACAAAATGGAACGAAATAAGACGTAGAATAAACAGTTACCTTTATGAACATAAACGGCACAACACAAGAGCAAGCGGGATGTGCGTTACTCAACCGGCAACGTTGTGCAGTCCTACACTTTACACCCACGGAGGAAGGAAAGGTAAGGAGAGGCCCCGACGTCACTCGTTGTGAAGCCGTGATGAAGCCGGAAGTCGGCCACATTGACTAGGCAAATTCTCCTCTCTTGTTTACATATGAATGCGAAGCAGAAGGCGCGACTCCCTCTCCGGCTCGGAAAGCACGTGGGCTGCGCAGCGCGTGTGTCGTGACGATCCGAAACTAATGGAACTGGGCTCATCACTCTGAGCCAGCGGGACACCTTCAGCGAAATCGCTTCATCCGAGTAATAACAGGGAGTAACAGCTCGCCGACAACAAAGCAACTACGAGAGAACGCGCGCTAGATGCACTGACAACGGTGAGTGCTTTCACGTCATTAATTCAGCAACCGTACAGACAGCACGATCGGTCGTGCGCCTTCTACGGTTGCATTCCGCCACGCGACCGACGCAGCGTCCTGCCACTGTGTCCGTGTTCCGCGTGAAAATCACCGGCGTCAGCATTCTGCGACCGTGGTGACTGAGCACGGTGCTAGTGACAGTTGAACGTGGTTGCTGTTGCGTTGAGATTACATGCAATGCTGGTGGAGAGTGTACCAAGCGGAACAGAAAAGGTGTTTTAGTACGCACTTGCAAGTTGTTACTGTACACACACAACACGAAACTACGTATGTGCACATGGTCCTCACTGCGTCTTGCTGGGCTCAACAGCGCCGTCCGTTGTCACAAGCAGGAGCACTGCTCAACCGTCACTGACCTGCAAAGCGTTCGTCGTCATTCAGCTTCGTCATGGTGCCCAACGCAATTTCGCTGAACACTAACTGCTTCATCCGCGTCATCCGCCGCACGACACATGGATATGCACTTGTTCTACGCACTGTTGAAACCCCGTGATGGACAAAGTGATTTGTAAACGTTGCTAAGAGTAATGTAACAGCCAGGAGAACACTGCGTAACCAATAACGCGGCGCAGAGCACAGATTTTGTCCGCCAGGGCTCAGCACGAGACCTGGGGAGGCACACATTCCGCCGCCAGCCGCGGCCGCTCACTGCTAGACCAGCTCCACTGCGCAACACGTAACCATAGCAACGCCGCCATTGTGCCTAGTGAATATGGCTGCCATGATGTCATTTCCGCCACACTTTTTACGCCCTGCGCCGGCTGGGCATGCCCTCTCCTTACCTTTTTCCTTCCTCCGTGCTTTACACAACTAGCCATGGCGTCTCGCGTAGTACATTTTAGTTCCACGGCCGCGGTATTTCGTCCAGTTCTAACTAGTCCACTTCTCCGATTGTGTTTTGTTCGTGCTGTGACACAGTGAACGTGCTTCTTGCTGGATCCCGTAAGTGGCCACAGGGTGTGACGTTGTGACGATTGATTACAACCGGCTTGTGCACACGCAAGAAAAAAAAAACTACGACCAGACTGGTACGAACACTCGTCCAGCAGCACTGCGATGACGCTTTTTTTTAATGTGTCCATTTGGACAATCGTGATGCCAAGTGATTCTGATGCGGTGCTGGGAACTTCCTGAAAAGTGAGAGTTCTACTGGTGAGGTGTCTCGAAGCAGCGCGTTTCGGCTCAAGCGGGAACTGGTCAAGAGCGAAATGTTTCTGAAGGTGCGTTGATTGCAACCTACAGCTGTTCTGTATACGTGCATACCCACATGTATTTGTACCTTTGTACCAACTGGCATGCACTAGACACGCATTAGACGCGCGCCTGGCGTTTCAATAAAAACCGACAAGTGAACTCGCTTCGCAGATCCGCGTCGACATACGTTGACGGAGTTGCACGAAAGCATTCGCGTGAAATGGTTCATAGTTGCACTTCATGGTGCGCTTCATCTCGGAAAGCACGAGGTGAGTTGAAGAGAGCGAAACTATTTTCTGTTGTTTACGGCAACGCAGCATTGCTGAATAACGCAGATGTTGCATTGAACGAGCATGGCGAAACAATCTTGGCCGACTTAGCGCACACCGAAACGCTCCTCCTCTTCAGTTTATGTTCTGGCTACGATTTTGTCTTTGGTCACGGCGAGAATCCGGCTGGAGCCATATGCGCATGCGTACTCGTTTTGAACCTTTTGCATAATAATAAATAACACCACCAGCCATTTGCAAGATCACGTGCAAGTAATGCACCAATCACAGACGCGGATGGCAGAGAAAAAGAGGAGTAATCGAGAGAGTGAGGAGGACGGCTCGAGAACAATGAGTGACGCTACCTTGTTTCATCTAGGGACCTTAGTTCACTCCACTGCGCCCTTCTAGTACTCCGTAACTTAACTGAGAGTTCACTGTAGCAGCCTCTTGAGAGACCTAACAACGGGTTCAGTAATCTGGCTCTTCATGCTTTTTTTTTTTGCTGTGACTGTGCTGCATTTTCCGCGCAGGTCTGGCGTTTCTTTTTCGTTTTTCAATTGTTAGTCTCGTCAACACGGCGAAGATGACACGAATGGGCACGTCACGTGCTTATATACATATTACTTTTCTTCAATTGCATCACTCACGCCGGCTTTTTGTTCAAGCTCGCGTTCGCGTAACACATATATGTTTTCGCCTTAATATTGTCCAGACACGACGAAGTTAGCATTAACATTTTTTGTTATGAGTGCCATGTGTACTCGTGACTCTGTATCCAGTTTTGTAAGATGAAGGAATTCAAGCGTATGATAAGCGACTAAGATGCACAACGTTCTCCTTTTTGTTTGATGCCTTTTTACGCATTTTATTAACAGTTTATTTTTCATTCTCTTAATTGGACATCAAGTTTTGCCCTGGCACATGAGTACTGAATTCAAGTCACGCACTCCACGCTGAAACGAAAGCTCTGCCTTGAGGTCCAGCATCCTGCAGTGTTGGGAGCAAAGTGGGGCCTGGCTTGGAGCGCCATCTCCACCTTACCGCTCAAAGTATTTCTGTCTCAGTGTGCATGAACGAACCGCAAATGACTTGCCCTTCTTTTTGCGTGACTCTCGTTTTTCTTGCCAGCGAAGGCCCTCGATTTTTCAAGGCAACCTCTGCGATTATACTGGAAAACAATCCGCAGTGTGTGTAACACTAGATGGAAAAACGGTGCGTTTCAAAATGATACGATGCTCCCGATTCGTCCTCGTGCATCTGAAACGATTGTAACAATAACAGTAAACAAACACCATGAATACCTTGTAGAAATGGCGTACCCGTGACATGTACATAGTTTACACAAATGGTGAAAGCACGGCCACTGAAACGTAATTTTTTAGTGACAATGTCGGAGCAAAGTTTCTACGAGAGAGCGAGAGAGAGAGGGAGAACAAGGCTTACAAGAAAGAAAGAACGAAGGCATGAAATCAGTAATATTTACCGTGTACCAAGCTTGTTGAATTGATATGCACCAGCTGGGTATTAATGACTGTTTAAAATTAACTTTTGATTATTTATTCATGTGCTTGCACAATGCAACGATTTAAAAAATGCAGCAATCAGGAGCTTTCAAAATTTGGACCCAATCTGCACAATATTCAGTTAAATTTAGTATATATTTTCACACTTATGATTACCTTCACGGGCACGCATAAGCATTTGCTCGCAACAGTCAATATATTATCTTGTACGTATGAGTTGCCAGAAGAAAAACTTTGCATTGGTGTAGTCGAATACGCATACTTAAATAGAGTGTTTACACTGTTGCTTGAATTTGTTTTGTGTCGGTAGTGGGTTTCACATCGAGTACAAACTTCGCGCTAACAATAAACTGTAGGGTTATTTGTGTACTTTAATGTGCTGTAAATCATCTGCCTGATCCAGCTGCGTTGGTTGGTTCGCGCCAGGTTGGGTATATATATATATATATATATATATATATATATATATATATATATATATATATATATATATATATATATATATATATATATATATATATATATATATATATATATATATATATATATATATATATATATATATATATATATATATATATATATATATTATATATATATATATATATATATATTTATATATATATGGGAATCAAGTGTATACTTAAGGGCTCGTTTTTCGTGTTTTACACAATACTAATGAGATCTAACAGACAATAATGCCAAGGAAGGTATAGGCGAAGTTATTAGGCCAATTGTAATATAAATGAGAAGAAAAAAAAGTGGGTGAAAAGATAACTTGCCGTGGGCAGGATCCGACAAGTTATCTTGTTATCTTGTCGGATCCTGCCACGGCAAGTTATCTTTTCACCCACTTTCTTTCTTCTCATTTACATTACAATTGGGCTAATAACTTCCTCTACACCTTCCTTGGCGTTATTGTCTGTTAGATCTCATATATATATATATATATATATATATATATATATATATATATATATATATATATATATATATATATTCTCGCTTCAGTAATATTGATGCGACAGAAATCGTTCTGTGTCCCTTTGCGATATAGGGTCATGTGAAAATGACAGCTTAGGATCAGTAGAATTCAGTTGGTGAATGTAAGTCGTCGTTCACAGGGTTACGAGCAGTGAATTAAAGTCTTCATGTTTCTAATCACTTCTCGGGTTAGTTTATACACATTGACAGCAAACCCTACCATTGAAAACGTGACCCTTCCCATATCTCGTGTTAAAGTGTAGTTTCTGAAAAAAGATTCGAGGTCAGGATTGCATCCAACGTGTCAATACCGATCTCCGAAATGAGCAAAATCTGGACGCCGATTCTCAAATACTGTCTTAGTTTCACGCTTCAACACACGATCACCACAAGGGGTGCCTCGCGATAACAATGCTCTAGATCAGTGGTGCCTTCGTCGCTCACGAACGTAGACGTTATGAAAATTAAAAAAAAAAAAGATACGGGACGAACATAGCCATGTGCGGGCAGAGGATTGCAAACGCTGGGTTCGCGGGACCGCACGTTTGAGACCCCTGCCCTATGGCAACCTCAGCTGCATCTTGTAATCCCTGACAGCAACACGACGTGTGTACGGTTTAGTTGATCTATAGTCGTTTTCAGCAATTGTAACTGTAGTAGCAAAGACATCTTGGTTCGTGCACACCAAATACCTGTTGTCGGCATTGACACTGTTTTTTTCTTCTCAGAACACTCAATACTAAACATATGCAGTGTTCAGCCTTTTCGGTTTATAAAATATGTTACGCCAAATTGGTGTTAAGGATTTTGGCTTTAGCAGCAACCAATTTTCAAAAGCGGGCTTACTAGAAAAGTGAGACCACGGTTGTCACGAGCTTGCATGCATTGAGAGAAAAAAAAAGAACGCCTCCTGAGATCACATTAGCGTGCGCCGCTCAACTAATCTTCAATTTTTAGTTTCCCGGAAGTTTAATTTTTTAATACAGATTCATGCATAACTAACCCCGTACACACACCATTACATGCAGGTCGAAACATGCATGTCCACACTTCGTATTCCATTAGACCGATAGCTGAAGGAAAATTAGGCTGCAGGTTTGCTTCCACCTTGTCAGAGTGACAATATGGAGGAGCAGAGGGTGTCGGGGAAGCTCCGATCTTTGCATTCATGTTGCAACGCCGATTATTCGGACCGATGAACTGTGCAAGCAATGGTAACACTGTATACCCTCATGATATTACGAACAAAATCACGTTTGGCTCGTGCTCGAAAACATGTGTGCCTTAATTCTGGCATCATCGTCGCACCATGTAATGTTCTCTCTCTAGAGACATTTAGAGATGCTTGTAATAATAGGCGTTTGGGATTCAACTATTTGCAACAACCGCTGGTGTAGCTTAGTGACCGTGGCGTTGCGCTATAGACTGCGCGATCGTGTCGGTTCACTCCGGCTGTCGCGACCACACGGCGTTTTCATAGGAGCGAAACTTGAGCACATATTTATATGCGCGTTAAAAAAAACAAACTCGGAATGCAAAATTTCACGTGTGTGTAAGGCATTTCACCTGGCAGCTCTTGCAGGGATACCCTGACTGTTGGTATCTTCTTCTTGCGGAGGGAGAGAATGAGCTTCAGGCTCCAGGTGACGGTGAAGAATGCGTTGACGACAGCCAGCAGCAGATAGAGTGGAGTGTACGACCCGAGCACGTCACGGCAGTAGCCTGCGCACATGTGGTTAACATCGAGATGCCATAATAAACTTTCGCCTCATACCATCACGATATGTGAGCATGAACAGGTCGGGTCTAGCTTGCGTTACTTATGGTGGTCTCGAAAATCTCATTTTTTCCTCTTAGGCCAATAATTTGAATGATACTACAGTAATGTGCTGTGGGTCAGCTGGTTCAAGTGGAAAATGAACACTTACAGGAGAACAGTCAGTTAGGGAACACTAAGTAGGGCATCAATCATCTTTAACGTTGCTGATTGTAATGATAATATTGGTGGTCTGACGTCCCGAAACCACGATATGATTATGTTCATGATTCTAATGCGCTTAGTATTACACAGAGCAGCAAAGCAAAAGCATTAACAAAAAACACTCAACATCCCGTAAGCCTTTTTTTTTTTGTTTCGAGAGTAGTAAATTCGCCAACAGCACTGCGATTGTGAACATTGACACACTAGACCAGTTTATTGCTTCACTAAACAGTATAAAATATATAACCTCCTGCAACCCAAAACACTCAGCCATAGGCAACGCCGACACATACGTCACAGGTCGATGTTTGTGAGGTCACCTCTCATCTCACATATTCTCACACGTTAAAAGATTGCCCCACCGCGGTAATCTAGTGGCTAAGGTACTCGGCTGCTGACCCGCAGGTCGCGGGTTCGAATCCAGGCTGCGGCGGCTGCATTTCCGATGGAGGCGGAAATGTTGTAGGCCCGTGTGCTCAGATTTGGGTGCACGTTAAAGAACCCCAGGTGGTCGGAATTTTCGGAGCCCTTCACTACGGCGTCTCTCATAATCATATGGTGGTTTTGGGACGTTAAACCCCACAAATCAATCAATCAACGTTAAAAGATTCTATTTCCGGTATTTCTGGTTATCTAAACCGCCGGCTGCGTTCGCAGATATACCAAGGTGAAAGCTTTCGATGTCTCGCCAGACGCAAAAATTGACCGGCGTCTCGCGTCAACACGAGCGACGCAAAGAAATAATCGCGTGGTGACGTCACATGACGTGGCATCACATGCTAACGCCATCTCATGGCGTCAGTGCTCTTTCAAAGGTGCGTCGATCTCGAAAAAACAGGTGATGTGCAGAAAGCTTGCAGTGCCTCAGATCTCGGAGTCAGTGCAAAGCTACGTCAGTTGTAGAAACCTTTCGGAAGAAGACGCGGGAGGTTCACCGCATCGACTTAAAAGACTAACCCCCGTATTCCTGAACGTCCCTCCACTCAACGCTTCACTTTCACCTGAAAAGGCCGATGGGAGCGCCGTCTCTAGGCAGGGAAAGCCACTGCATATCAGCGATAATCTGCTGCGGTTCTTGAGTAGCGCAGCGTCACTGTCAGCCGAGCAGCGGCGCAGTGCTCAACTGTGTCAAGTGAAGGGTGAAAGTCAAGTCGAGGAGCGTTTGTGAAATACGGGGGTTAGACGATGGCTCTCGCCTCTGGAGTCGACTGAGACGGATGTATACGGAACCGAGTGAGTTTTTTTTTTATGTCTTGAAGCAACCCTAGAATGAATCTGAGGCTTACCTATGATGGGTGGTCTGATGAAGCATGCAATGCCGGACACGAAGTTCAAGACGCCCAGGTTGAGGGAGATGGCGTCCTCGTCAAACTCTTCGGCCACCATGACGGTGCAGGTGAAGAAGCGGCCACCGCTCGAGAGGCCCGTGACAAAGCAGCACACAAGCAGCACCCAGTAGTTGCTCTCGAAACTCATGACGGCCATGACGACCGCCTGCAGCGCGAACATGCAGAGAAGCGTGGCGCTGGTGCTCATGAAGCGTGTGTCGAGCACCAGCGCCGTGATGAGGCGCGAACACAGGTCTCCGATGGCGTACGCCGTGAGCAGGGACACGGCGTCGTAGCCCGAGAGGCCGTTGTCCTCGCCGAAGTCCACTACGGTGATGAGGATGGTGGTGAGCGCAAACAGGGCAGCCGCACGCGACAAGCAGATGTGCACGTACGGCAGCGTGAACATGGTGCGCATGTTGCTCCGCAGTTTAGCTCGCGCCGAACGGTCCCTGAAGTGGACGAAAAAAGTACTGAGTGCTGGCCGTCATCGCCCAGCAACAACAGTTGCTCTTGGTGGCTTCGATAACGTAATTACAACACCAAGAGGAAACCAGCAGGTTGCTTAAACAGATGCGCCAAAGTAAGCGTAAAGGAAATGAAAGCGAGCCCTGAAGTGCATGTTTTACTGGACTGGGATACGATTTGTTAGAAAAGTAATGAGGCTGTGTTTGTACTAGCCAAAGTTCTCAGTTTTTTTTTTTCAAGCAACAATGCTATCCCTTTCAATGCTATCCCTTTGGGCAGCTATAAACTGGCGGAGTTGTTCCCACTCTTAATAGGTAGCAGCGCTGGAGGTCTTCAACTGGTATGGCTTTTAACTGGTAGGCCACAGTCTTTTAAATGTTCTCCAGAGTTCCAAAACAGAGTCCTTTTTGGACCTGTTTCAATTTAGGGAAAAAGAAAAAAATTACAAGGACTCAAGAGAGAAAATAAAGGTCAACCAGAATTGTAGCATCCGGTTGGACGGAATGGGGAAAAGATGATGAGGACTCAAATTAGGTGAACAGGGGGTTTGGAACAACGGTAATGCATGTTCAGGTAACGTAAATGAACTTACGTGTGAACGAACTTAAGTGAGGTACGCCACCGGAAACAATAGTAGTAAGCGCACAATTAAAAGTTAACCCATAAAATGGAAAGATGTCTTACTTTTTGTCCAGTGACATAATGGACTGCGCTAACTTGATGGAGCAGGACTGCCCCAGCGAGGCTGCTTGGAAGCTGGACCTGCGCCGCTCGGCTGGTATGCGGGGCGGCTCTGCAAGCAGCTCCTTGGTTTTGGAGAGCGCTGACGGGCGGCTCTTCGATAGAACCGTCGGTGCGGTCAACGCGGCTCACTATGAAGCAGCCGAGCAGCATGTTCAGTATGACGGCTCCGATCAAGTGTAGCGTGCATCGGAAGCCGTACGTTTGACGCAGAAATTCCACCGCCATGGGGGACACGAAAGCCCGAGACGGAGGTGACGATGAATAGCAGGCCCAGTGCTGTGCCGCGGTACGACACGAAGTGGCGCGCCACCACCGAAAACGGCACCAGCTCGGCGCACGCAAGGCCCATGCCTGAAACAGGAACACTTGTTAGTTGAGAGGCCCTTTCACCAGGTCCCAGTGCAAACTTTGATTGCATTGTGGAAGTTGTAGGGCGCCGTTTAAGAAGGACCTTTGCCAAAAATATAATCAGACGAGTTGATGCGCTTCACTAGTAAAGAGGAGAATACTTAAATCTGGGCAAGGGACAAAAAGAAAAAATCGTTCTTGCAAATATGCTTGGACTAGGGCAAACAGTGCATTGCAATATTGTCACTAGTAAAGGGGAGAACACTTAAATCTCTGTAAGAGACTAAAAAAAAAAGTTCTTGCAATTATGCTTGACGAGGGCAAACATTGCACTACAATAACTGTCAACAATATTTAGAAAGTAATCGGACAGGGTAGGAAAAAAAAAATAAGAAGGACGTCTCGGACGTTTGAATGACCCATATTAGTAACTAAATCCTAATATTTACAAGGATTAAGTGGTTCGCAACTGAATGAATACCAACGACACATTGCTTGCCCTCATGTGACACTCGTAAGGGTATTTTTATGTAAGCTTAATTAGTTTTAATTAGCTCTTTAACTAATGTCAATTATGCAAATTTTAATTATGTACACTTCAGGGAAAAGTCCGTAGCACGTGCTACGCACTTGTGTAGCACGTGACACTCGTCACAGTGGGAGAAGAAAAAAAAAGATCAAGATAAAGGTAGGGAAGCTCACCGAAGAACACTCCATAGAGTACGTTGATGACGGTTAGGCTATAGGCGAAACCACATGCCATGACCGGCACGGAACATAGAAAGGCGCCGGCAATCAGGACTGCCCTCTCGGACAGGTACAGGCAGAGGAGGCCGAACACGGGCCCTGCAGCGCATGTGGCGGGGTATACAATCCCAACAAGCAGCGAGGTGCAACCTGACACAAGACTCTCCAAGGATGCGTTCTGCTTGCTTACTGCAGAAACAGACTTTGGGTTTTCAGTGCTCATTGAGTATGTGGATTACACTAACCTGCCACCGTGTGCTCACTTTCTGCCTTTCTTTAGGCTTCATCAAGTGGGAGGGCATTATGTCCTTTTTAGCTTGCTTCTCTTGTGGTATGCACACTTCCTGACTCTCCTTATACTCGCCATGTCAGGTATATTTATAACGTCTCTGATTACAAGTGACAGTATGACTGATGCCTAAGTTCATGCATGTGGACACTAAAGAATTATGGAAATACACACGAAATGTGTACATAGAACAATAGAACAACCTACGCTAATAATCAACAAGTACTTATTTGACATACGTAAATACAGTAGAAGTATAACAACAACAATGTACAGTAAGGACACACTGTACAAGTAATGTGATCATAATGAGATTACCAACAGTTCGCATACCGCATAACCATAGTTTATAAGGGGCCTTCTTAGAAAAGAGAGTGACAGGTTCGCGGCACGCGACAAATCGTGCGGGGAACTCACCAGCTAGCTGGGAAACTACGAGCGATATGCTGAGAGGCCAAGATGCGTCCTGTCTGCTCAGATGAAGCATTTCCATGAAGCCGACGTAGATGACCGACTCTGTCTTGACCAAGATCATAGCGAAGAAGACGTAAATGGCCGCTGACGCGGCAACGAACCAGCATTCTCGCGAGTCTGGTTTGACGATCTTCTTCGGCGGAGACATCTCTTCTTCAAGCCGTCTTCTGGCGCCGGGACTAGCAAAGTATGTTTACTGGTTCATCTGCAAAGCCACTGCAACGAACAAGCACAGCTTGGCGTAATACACATATAAGTGTGATGTAATTCAGGCACTAGACATTCGCTATAGGTAAAAAAAAGTTAATTAGTAGAGAAACAGCTGATGAGAGGAGCATTGTTTGCTGCAGGCGGATCTAGAGTTTTCAAATGCTTAACAACGTGTGAGTTTGAGCTATGGAGTACACGGCCTACTTGGCCGCCGTTAAGCGAAACACGTTTGGACGGTAGCACGTACATGTCTTTTCGTTCATGTATACGTCGAAACGCTTTGCTCTTTGCGGTGGGCACCGTCCCAAATGCCACTTGTAATCGCTTAGCAATTGCTCCGCTCCAACGCCGCTTGTCACACGCCATACCGTCTGGAGATTTTTCATTCACTAACAACACACTGCGAGCTATTCAAATGACTTCTACTCGAACTTTTCACCACTTGTTTTCCGGCACAGGATGATGGAGCTATATTTTATGAAGTGCCGAAGGACCTTTTTTTCTAGACATCTAATTCCGTAGCGGTAACAGAATCAAACTTGCAATTTGATATGCGGCCATCTCCTTCCCCAGTGCCTAGCGGGCTCAGCCCTGATTAACCTCCCTGCCTCCTTTGTATCTTATCCTTATTCTCTCGCTGACAAGAGCAAGAAAACAATATTTACATCAAAGTACCAGTATGATTTTGAAACGACCACGGCTAAGCGCAAACAAACAAACAAACAAACATGGCCGATTTCTCCGCATCGCTACAACAGGAAAGTGGCATGTATCCTCCCAGAGGCTGTTGAGCCGTTTATTGTGCAGCGTCATATCAGAGCTTGTACGCCTCTTGGTGTTTGGCAGTTGTAGCACCGTTAGACGTGGATGTTGTACCGATAGTGGTGCATCACCATCTCGAGGACTAGCGCCCATTATCATGATTTAACCGTCGTGGTAGCTCAAGTTGTTAACATACACCTGGATACAGCATATCGCGAACTCCGCGCAAACATGCATGGCATTAACAAGCACATAAAAAAATCACAATTTCGCCGCGAGCGCAGAGCAATGAATGCGATAGCTACAAATTGAAATATCACGCTAAGAACGACAAACAGCTCAAAACTTTCAGCACGCTGCTCAAGCGCAAAGGATGCACTAAAATATAGCTCACACAGGATGACTGCCAGCTTACAACTGTCAAGGGTTTTAATTCTTTATGTAGCACGCTCCTTTCGCGGCTGTGGCAGCGAGTGAACTTGCGCTCTGTACCTTCCGAGCGAATGTTGCGGTGAAAGCACAAGATGTACAGTGCCGTCCACTGTTAGGGTGAGACGGGCTTGGCGTGGCATCGAAGCGTACAGCAACGCATGCATGCGCACACGGACACACGGGAGGTGCTTTACGTGATCGGCTACATCGCTTGGAATGAATGAATGAATGAAACCATGTTTATTCCACTTTGTTCGCGCCGAAGGCGCTGCGGTGGACAGTCAGGGCACTATAGCAGGGGGGGGGGGGTAGAGCTGCCTCCGTTTTATTACCGGACGTCATGGAGGCAGCTAAGTGGGGGCCGCTTGAATGGCTTGAATCTTGTGGCTGTCGCGGAGCCGGTCGCCAACCGGTGGCGCGGCCGGGTCCTGGAGGAACATGATGAGTGCTCGCCAGAACTCGATGGCGCGACCAGGGGGCGAAGGCTCCGGGCAGGCCCATGTCCGGAGAGAAGAAGGCCAGGGTCCCCGTTTTATGGTGGCCAGGGCACGGAGCCTAGGCGGGTTGTACACAGGGCACTCCCAGCACAAGTGGTTGAGATCAGCCCGGCAGTTGCACGTGGAGCAGAGACCTGTCACGGGTGGTGGCGTGTCACCCCTGTGGAAACGGTTCAGCAAGAAAGGGGTAAGGAGTGTTCCTGCCTGAATTCTCCGAAGCAGGACAGACTCTCTCCGTGTGAATACCTTCGAAGGAAGCAATGGTATCGAGAGTGGATTACCCACTGCTGTGAGGTAGGCGGCGCGACGTTGTTTGGTAATGTGCTTATCTGCTATCGGATCTGCTAGCTCGGGTGGGGTAGCCAGAAAAGTGGAAGGAGTATCGGAAGCTCTGGCTAGCGCGGTGAGGAGATGAGCGCGCGCTAATCTGTGAGCCTTCTCGTTTCCGGGGATACCGCAATGCCCGGGGACCCAGTGGATGGTAACGTCATGACCACATTCGCGGAGCAGGCGCGTCTGGTGTCGGATCTTCTGGAGTACAGGATCTGTGTAAAGAACATTAGCGCATGCCCGATGGGCAGCCTGGGAATCAGTGTACACACGATGGTGAACAGGGTCAGTTTGAGGTGACATTTCGAGGGCCCACTCCAAATAATCTAAGATGCCCACTAGCTCTGCTCGAGTGCTATACATCGCATCTGCTGAAGCATGATAACGTCGGCTCTGATTTCTGTTTGTCTGGTCGTACCACGCAGTGGCATAACAAGTGTTACTGGTACCGTCTGCAGGAAGTGCAGCGTCAGTGTATACGACGCGTTCAGTCATGGGGAGTGAACTCGTGGCCCTAGCATGTCTCTTGGCGTAGTTAAGGCGCCGTGCTCGCTGATTAGGGTCCATATTCAACGGAAGTGGCTTGCCGTCGGTGAGTACCGTGATTTCCCAAGGCGGCGTTTTGTTAGGCAGCATGGGCAGTGTGTTGATGTCATACCCGAGAAGCATAAGCGTGTATCGCCCGGCATTTGTTGCGCGAAGCCTCGTTTCCTGTGTGTGGATGTGCATGTCGATGAGCTCGGTCAGATTATTGAGCTTGCTGCAGCTCTTGAGCGCATCCAGGCGTGTGTACCTTGGTAGTCCGGTAACCATGCGTTTGGCCTCGTTAAGCAGCCGGTCGAGTTTGATTATCTGCGTACGGTTGACCGGATGATACGGCAGTCCATACATGATACGTGAGACGAGAAAAGCTTGAACAAACTGCCGCATTTCGCGTTCGTTTACTCCACGAGTGCGATTAGAGATTCTGCGTAAAGCATGAAGGATTTGTTTGCTAGTCTTCGTAACGCGTTGGAACCAAGTGCTCGCTGTGCAATTCTCGTCTAAGTGCATTCCTAATATTCGGATAGTGGATTTCCTCATTATAGGTTGATTGCCAATGTGAAGTTTATAACACTTCTTTTCTTCCTGCTTGGCAAACGTGGTTCGGCCACCATGAATGACGACAAACTCTGTTTTGTCTGGAGCGGTGTGTAAACCTGCTTCCATTGCGTAGTCGTGAATAATGTTGAGGGCTCGTTGTAAGACATCCTCCTGCTCACCGACGGATCCTTGATGCGTCCACACGGTTACATCATCTGCATACACCGCGTGTTTCAGGCCCGGTACGTTCGCAAGGCGTCTTGGTAGCTGGTACATGGCTATGTTAAAGAGGGTGGGTGAAATCACCGAGCCCTGGGGAACACCTACGTGGTTGGTTCGTACGGTACTGGCGTCTTGGCCGATTTCGACTTGGTAGCTTCGCCCTTCGAGGAAGCCCGCTATGAAGTTATACATTTTCCCTTTAATCCCAAGGGCACGTGCTTTCGTCATGATGGTACTGTGTGGTACGCCATCGAATGCTTTGCGTATGTCCACTGCTACAACAGCCCGTGGGTGCACCGAGTTAGAGTCGAGGACGTCTTCTTTTAGGCGAAGGAGTACATCTTGAGTTGATAGGCCCGCGCGGAATCCGTACATTGTAGGGGCCAAAAGGTCGCGATCTTCAAGGTACCACATCAAGCGTGTGTTAACCATGCTCTCCATGACTTTGCAGACACACGAGGTTAAAGAGATCGGGCGGAGGTTGGATAAGGTATGGGGTGGTTTACCAGGCTTCGGTATGGGCTTGACTACCGAAAACTTCCATGTGGAGGGCAGTATTCCGGTATCCCAGACTGTATTAAACTCTTTGAGGAGAGCGTGTTTGTACTCAAGAGGCATATTGCGTAAATGAGCAACGCATACTCCATCGGCTCCTGGAGCACTACGTGTGTTAGCATGTTGCAAGGCATACTCCAGCTCGAGCATGGTGAAAGGGCTATTAAATGGCTCAGTGTCTTCAGAGCTTGCATCCTTCCGGTACGTATTGGCTGTGGGGCGAGATGTCTGCGGGAAAAAACACTTCAGCAGCTTGTTCGGCGAGCTCCTGTGTGCTGATGCCCTCCCGGAGGGCCACACGAGCCGCGCCATTGTAGGTCTTGCGTTGGCCGAGGAGAGAGCGCAGGATGGTCCAGACCTTTGACGTGTGGGTCTGCCCATTCATGGTTTCACAAATTGCCATCCAGCGGTCTGACGCTAACGTGGTCGTATATGTCTCAATAGAACGCTGTATTTTGCGCAACCGTGCTTTGTGATGCGCAGCGTGGCGAGACCGCCTGTACTGGGCCAGAATACGTAGCCTTCTATTCCACAGAGTGAGAAGATGCCTATCAGGTTCTGGGTGGTCAAAAGGAACCCGTAGGTTCTTGGTGGCTTGCCGTTTCGCTGCGCATAGCTGAGAAAGCAGATGGTCAATATTCTTGGCTGGAGGCTGTTGCTGTAGTAAATCGCGATATTTGTCCCAGTGTGTGATGTGGCTTAGCCGTGTGCTGGCGCGTGACTTCGTCTTCGTAATGGCGTCACCTGTGCGAAATCGTATAAGTATGGGGAAGTGGTCGCTTCCCATGCAATCATCCAGCACCTCCCACTGAAATAGCTGTGGGCGGGTGCTCCAGGTAAGGTCTGGGGATGTGTCTGCTTGGTGAACTGTCTGTCCCAGCCTCGTGTGTGTTTGGGGCGTATTGAGAAGCGTCAGCCCGTACGCCGAGGCATCCTGCATGATGCGCCTGCCACGCGGGCTGCATTTGTTGTATCCCCAGGCGACATGCTGAGAGTTGAAGTCTCCGCACAACAATATGACATCTTGTGGATAAATCTTCCTGAAGTGCGGTATGAAGCTGAGATCAACCGGCGCCTTATTGGCTTTGTTCCTGGTGCTTTCAGGAACCACGTAAACGCAGAAGA